TGGAGGCGGCGGCCACGGCGGTCACGGCCACAATCCTGTTTTCACATTGGACCCCTCGCTCAGCCCGAGGGTCTGGATCCAGGAATCTGGGAAAAGTTCACGCTGTACAGATCTTCGAGGCTGGAAGCTGAGGCGGCGGTGCGCGCAACTCAGGTCGATTTGGCGCTCGCTCGACGTGACCTGCCAGAGCTCGAATCTCGCGAGGCGGGGCTCGCGACGGAGATGGACGAGCTCATGTCGGCCATCACGGCGCTCCGTACGGAGCGCCGTACGTCTGCGTACGACAATGAGTTGCAGCTGCGGCTGCTGGCGGGTCAGGTGGAGGTGGCGCCGCCTGTTGGGGCGCCGGCCGACATGTCGGATGCCCGGCTGCTGAATCAAGCTGTGGTGGAGGCTCTGAATGCGGTGGTGCTGGGCAAGGGCACCAAGAAGGTGCGGAGCGGGCCTGTGGTGCTGAGTTTGCCTGTATGGACGTCTGTGTATGGACGTCTGTGTATGGACGTCTGTGTGTGTGTGGGGGGGGGGGGTTGTTACAGTGGGCTCCGGACTCACGAAGGGTGGAGCCAGCGGGGCCAGCTTACTGGCCGTGTATTATTACTGCCCCTGAGGGTGGGGTGTGTTTGGTGCGTAGGTAGGTAGGCGGGTGGGCGGGGTATATCTTCTCGGGGTCCGCAAGTGGGCCCTCTCCCCGCCCCACTGCTACTAGTACCCTAACCACCCGCGTCCAAATCCATCCGCATTACCCACATCGCCCGCATCACCCACATTGCCCTTACCCTTAGGCCCCCCCCGCCCGGCCCCACCTCCTCCACCTCCGCCCAGGTTGAGATCCTGACAGCCATGAAGGACTTCAAGCGGGGCATCTACGCCGCCCAGTGGGAGGCGGCCGCTGCCGACATGCGGCTGGAGGACCTCCGTGCCAAGATCCGGGACCTGCAGCTGCTGCACGTGACGAGGGATATGCAGGTAAGGGAGGAAGGATGCAGTTGTCCCAGGATGGTGGAGGAGTCTTGCATGGTTGCTCTTGCATGGTCTTTGTGCTTGATGAGCTGTAGCTTGGTGGTGTATATGTCTTATGCCTTATGCCTTACATATGTACATATACATATACATGTATACATATATACATATATATGTACATGTATGGATAAAGCATGTATTCATGCGTATTGGGGGCAGCTTGGAAATGGGGGTAAATGGAGGAGGTGATGGTTGGGTTGGTTATTCGACCCCACGGTTTTGGCTTTTCGCCGCTTTGCCACCACTTTGTGTGATTTTAGTGGGAGAGATCGTTGTAGGGGTCGTTGTTGCAGTTGCTGATTCCTCCGTCCGTAAGAGCCCTTCTCTCTTGCTCTCTCTCTCTCTCGCCACCCAAAGCAACAATTTAAAAACGTTTCTCGCAATAAAATTTCGTCCCATGCGCCCATGCCCAGCCCGGCCCTCCCTTCCCTCCCCTACGTTCCTCACATACGAATTCCCCCCTCCCGCCCGTGCCCGAACCCTTCTACAAAACCGACTTTCAACTACCAATTCAATCCAACAACCAATCCAATCCAACAACCAACTCAATCCAACAACCAATTCAATCCAACAACCAATTCAATCCAACAACCAATTCAATCCAACAACCAACGAAACCCAACAACCAACGAAACCCACGACAGGCCGTTCTCAAGGACGGCGAGGACCGCTCCACAGCCTTGGAGGCGGCTAGCTTGGAGGCCCTCATGAAGCAGCGAGAGCGACTGCACATCAAGGCGCTGGACGACAAGCGCCGGCGACTGGCCAAGCTGGCGGGCGAGGTGTCTTCTCGCAGCGGTCAAAACCAGGAGGTTGCCATACACCTGGTGACGCTGGGCAAGGTGTTGGAGGAGCAGCAGCGGCTGCAGGCAGGCATGCAGAGCTCCACGGAGCAGGCGGCGAGGTGAGAGGGGAGCTTGAGAAGGAGGAGGACGAGAAGGGGGAGGAGCAGAGGGAGGGACCCACCCACCGCACATGGGATCATCTCATGTGATACGCGCACAGTTGCAGAAATCATTTTCACACCATTTTTGCCGTTTTGCATTCCTTTTCTTGCAATCATTTTTTGCTATGTGTTGTATTTCGCGTTATCTTCGCGGCAATGTGTTTTTCCCTTCCCACCAACCTTCCCTTCCCTTTTTCTCTCCCCCCTTTTATATACCCCCTGTATATATGTATGTATGTTACACCTCGGGTGCGTTATTACCTAGAGAGGTGTAACGAGCCAGCCCGTACACGAGAGCTAGAGCAGAGAGGCTCAAAAGCCTAGGGGCCGTTAGTTGTATGTATGTAAGTATGCTATTGCACCCTTTTTGCAGGCGCATGCGCAGCCTAGTAACCCACAAAAAGCTCAAGGAGATTGCTTTGGCGCAGCAAAACGAGCTAGCGGATCTGCGCGGGCAGGTGGAGAAGGCGCGGCTGCGCACCTACCCCACGTTTGTGGAGCTTCGAAACGTGGCTGGCATGCCAACACTGCCGCAGCGGCTGCCCCCCGACCTGAAGGTGTTGGCCGGGGCGCCCAGTAGCGCGAGTGCCGCGGGGCTCAGCGGCGCCGGACAGCAAAGCAACTCCCGGATGCAAATGTGAAAAGGTATTAAGCAGCCCGGGAGTGTAAAAATAATGTGGAAGTGCGTGACATGCAAGTGTGAGATGTGTTTTTTTTTGTGTGTGTGAAAATGTAAGGTTTGGGTGTGATGAGGGTGGAAATGTATGGGATTGTGTGTCTGTCCGTATGTATGTCATACGTGTGGGGACTTCAGGGTTGCTGGTGGCGTACCGGAGAGAGGGCTGGGGGAGGGGGGGGACGGGGTCGCCGCAGGCTCGACAAAAGACTTGGGACCAGGAGTCCTCAGTGGTTTAAATTGGAGTGGAGGAGAGTGGGGAGGACAGTGGGGAGGCGTTGGCGGGTTGCTGCGGTAACTGGCAAGGGAGCTGACCGGGCGAGGGAGGCGGAGGAGGCGGAAGGAGGGAGGAGGGATAAGACGCCTGAAGGGGAGGGGTCGCGGGAATGCGCCCAGAGACGGGGACGGTGTTGGAGACGGCAACGTGTGGTGTGGGAAGGTAACGGAAGCGAGTTATTGAAGGGGCGGTGTAGGGCCAGGGCGAGGTAAGGCAGGGTGGTTGTGCGAAGGCAAGTTGAAGAGGGCGGATGGTGGCTGATGGTTGTCAATTTGACAGGGGATATGCATGGGTGTTTGGGGAGCTGGCGTGTCGCACACGGTAGCGGCGTGCTGCGGCGAGGGATGGTGGTGTTGTGTCCCTTAGCTGGCTATGCGTGCGCGTTCCGAGGCGGATCGGGCATGTGGAGACTCCAATGTCCTATGTTTTGATAAGGTGCGTGATTACCGCTGCATGTGCCGTTGCACCTGATAATGGTGGTCCGACCAATCGACGCACTAACTGCTGAGAAGTTATGTTGACGAAAAGCGCGGAAAGGTGCTTTTTAAACATTTCAAGAGACAAGCCTTTCAGTTTCAGCTCATGGGTGAAGGATAAGCGCTTGTCCAATTTTTTGCAATATTCAATCGAGGAGTTGAGGAGTTGTACAATGTACGATGCGGTCTGGCCAAACAGTGGGCGCCACCAGTGGCGAAGAACGCGAACACGCATATACCATTAAATGATATCCGTGCTGTATCTCTAAATGATTTTCCGTGCTAACATATTGCCAGGACAGAAAAGGTAGTCACGAAGCAGGCTCGCTGCCGCAGCGCTGCTCGAACAACGCCAGGCTCGTACGCAATTCACGGCAGTCTTTGCAGCAAGATTTTGCGTTTACCCGGGACCCTGAATTATCATCTACACAAAAGAGACGAAGACGTTGAGGTTACGGTCCAGCTTCGAGATAGCTTTTTAAAAATGAGCTCGCTGGCTTCCACCTCAACGTCACATAAAAGCACCTTCCTCGACCCTTTAACTAATGCATTACGGGGGCTTGTGGCGAGCTTATTGATGGCTGTCCTAATGTTGGGTGCTCTTTACGCGCGCTTTTTCGACGCCATGCCGAGCAAAAGGTTAGTCCTAACGTGGTTTGGCTACGGAACGAGATTTTTCATTCTCAATTTTCCCTGGACACGCTCTCAAGCAAGTAAATTGATTACGAAATGCAGGGACGTGCGAGAGGAGCCTGAGGACGTCCGCAAGGTTAAAGCTCGCAAGGGAACCGGGCTCGAAGACGGAAAAGCAGACGCGCCTGCCTGCAACACTGGTGCAAATGCTGCTGCAACGCCAGTTCAGGTCGGTCGCACGTTGGGCCCGCGGGGCCGAGCAACCGCTTAAAGTTCGCATGACGGTTGTCTCTTAAGCACAATCCTATTGCTAACCTTTGCCCTCCTGTATTGCAGATCTGCACTCCCAGCCATGTGCCTTACTTAAGCGATGATGTCTACGCCACGGCTATGCGTCCGACTCCCCCGGGGCAGGTGCGCGTTCGTCGCGTGCGCAGAGGCTCCTCTTTCGTTATCTTGGCCGGCTGGAAGCCAACATCCACACAACGCCTGGACCCTAGTTTCTAGCTCCCCTGCCCCTTACCTCCCCACCGGCTCCACTCCAACCAATCCCACGACCATTAATTAGCAACAACTTCAGCTCACTGCGCACTCCTCTTCCTCCTCTTGTTACCCTTTCCTTTTTCGTCGACTGTGGAGAACCAGCTTTCGTTGCGACACTCCCTCCCATCCTTTCCTTCCCAGATTTTTTACTTCTGTGCGTTTTGTCAATATGTGGTCAAACGCCCATGTTTACCCTTATTCCCCTGCTGGCGCAATGTTTTTTTGCTTTTGCTTGCATTGTGGAATATTGGGACGAAATGCTGCAGACTCTGTTCAACGGGAGGGGCCCCACTCCGTCGACGCCGCTGGTGGTCCACCCTGCTTCCAGGACAGTGCCTGCTCCGAGCACTTCGGCTCCCCCATCTCCCTCCAACGCAGCCAGAAACACCCTCATCCCACGGAATTTGGACGCCCTGCTCCTTGCCGTTGCCGACAACACCCACGATATCGATGGAGAAGACGAAGATGGTGACGAAGAGACGGCGGCGGCGGCGGCAGTCCTTACTCCCGCTGTTGATTACTGCGGCCCAGGCAGCAGCGCTGCCGGCAACGGCGTCGTGGGTTGTGCATCATTTCCTTTTTCAGTTTCAGCTCAAACGATGGCAACTGGAGAGCAGCAGGAAGAGCAGCAGGAAGAGCAGGAGGACCCTCCGGAGCAGATGCGGTTGGCCTTTGCCATCTCGACACCGTCGCCACAAGCACAACCACCATCCGCAGATTTGAGTTTGAATTCGGGTTTCAAACACCTTCCCGAAGACAGCAGATGTGGGCTTGTGGAATCCACGTCGGACCCGGCTGCGCCGACCATTCCTCGAAGGCCTGCCGCCACCGCCACCACCGCTGTCGTCACCGCTGCTGCCGCCGCGACGGCGGCTGCGGCTGCGGTGGGGACTCCAGCTCCGCCGCCACCGCCGATGCTGGCGGCACCCGCCAGTCGATCTGCAGCAGTTGGGGACGACGGTAGCGGCGGCGTCCTAACGCGATCTGCCGACCAGCCGACGAACATGGACACTCGAACACCAACACCAGCACCGCAGCCTGCGCCGCTAAAGCTAAAGCCAGCGGCCTTGCGCCATTGCGTCACTTCCGATGTTTTAGAGGTCAACAGCGTCAACAACAGCGCCAACAACAGCGTCAACAACAGCGTCAACAACAACAACGGGGACGAGATTCGGCATATCCTTGCGGACATGGAGGCTGTTGCGGCGCAAAGTGGTGTTGGTGTTAGGGCCGGTGATGGTGATGGTGGCGGCAACAGCGGCGGCGCAGGGGCCGTTCCGGCAGGCCATGAGCTGTCTACCCCGCGCACATTACCCGACCCTGACGACCGTGATGACTGTGATGGTGAGAGAGAGGCCGTCGTGGGAAATAACCCTTAACTAAGATAGTAGTAGTTTTATGTCCTGTTCGTTATATATCAGTCTTACCCTTTTGGTTACATGACCCTTGTACACGGACACTGAGCAGGCGCCTCCTTCCAGAAAACCGAAGTAGGGGCAAAAGGAGAAGCCCTTTGGTTGTCCATCTGCCTTGTTACCCGCCGGCGTCCCTAAACCCCCTAACCCCCCCCCTCCCCGCGTGCACGTCCCGGGTCGCAGCCTGGGGGAAACCTGCCGCACCCTCCGCCAGCGACGTCTGCCACGCTAGGGAAGGGGACAAGCAGTCGCAGTCCCCGCAGCCATCGCAGCAGCAGCAGCAGCTGGCAAAGCTGGACGAGGACGAGGGCAACCAAGGTACGACGACGACGACAGGTTACGAGGGAGATCATGCTCCTGTTGGAACCTGGTTGGAGTCCGACAGGATTAACGTCGTCGTCAGCGGCGGCGGCGATGGCGGCGGCGGCGATGGCGGCGGCGGTGATGGCGGCGGCGGGGCCCCTTGTGTTGCTAAGGAAGCGGAGGAAGGACTGATGAGGGTCGCGAGTGGCAACCCCGCCAGGGCCGACGGCGCCCGCTGCACCCCCAGCCCTAAGAAGCTACAACAATCTAAACATCTGCAGAGGCAGCAGCAGCAGCACCCGCAACAGCACCGCCAGAATCAGCTTTTACAGGCGCCGCGCAAGTCGCCCACGGCGAGCGGCGGCGGCGTCACCGGCCCGGGGAAGGACAACACCACAGCAGCTGCTGCAGCGGCTGCCGCTGCGGCCGCTGCCGCTGCTACACCCCGCATTTTGGTCAGCGCCATCAGCCCCAAGCAGCTGAAGCGCTCGGTGATATCTCCCACCACAGGAACAACAACCGTAACAACAATCGCAGCCACTGCAACAACCGCCGTAACGGCTACGCCAGCTACCGCCAGGCGACCCGTGGGTCCGGCGGACCCGTCGGCTCGCGTCCGCGGTTCGCGCCCCGGCGCTGGTAATGATGGCGACAAACGTCCGGTGGTACGGAAACTCATCAACACCACGAGCCCCAAGAACGACGCAGCTATGACCGTATGTACGCCTGTATCAACAAGCGAGGCTGAACCCGGGGCTGCGGCCTCTTCTGCTGCTGCCTCGCCTGGTCGAGCTGACCTGGATACGCTAGCAGAAACAACAGTCGCGGCAGTGGCAGCAGAAGCTGCGTCAGCGTCGCCTGGTGCCCCGGCCCAGCCCGCGCTCCGAAGCTTCCACAGCTGCAATAGCAATATCAATGGCGGCGGCGGCGCAGGTGTAACTGCGGCTGCTGCTGGCACGGCAGGAAGCTGTGTGATGGTGGGAGTGCCTCGTTACGCTGCTCCCACTTTCGCGTCTAAGGCCCGTGTGGTGAGCATGCATGGCTCCCCTGGAGGCGGCTCGACGACGCTGTTGACGACGGCGACGACGACGACGGCACTGAGTCCGACAGGCGGTGGAGGTGGTCGCGGTGGTGGTGGTGGTGTCGATGGCGGGACGGGCTCTGGCACCACTGGCGGCGGCTTCCGGCGCTCAACAATGTTGTCCGCGAAGCTGAGATCCACGGTCAGCAGCGGTGCCCTGGGCATTTGAGTCGAGCTTTTTGCGCCGCAATGCACGGCTGTTTCACGTGCATCGGGACACACTGAGCGCGCTGAGTTGCGCTGCGCTGAGTTGAACCCCCGTAGGGAAACGCGGTCGCTTGGGGCGTTGAGCTTGGGGCGTTGCTGCGACTGGTGCGAAAGGTGGCTGTGGAAAGGGGGACGTACATCGCCGCCTCCTCGGGGCGCCGTTTCTGTGGCAAGACATGGAGGGGGGAAAGTCCCTGCGTGCCTTCTTGTTGGTTGCGGCAAGGTTGCGGGAGGAAGGCAGTTTTAGCCGTCATGTTTTGTTGTTTTGTGTAGCGAAAAGAGTGGGACCTGTCGCTCTGGGTGTGCGGCGGCATATGTATGTTTGTATGTTTGTACGTAAGCGCGCATTTCGAGTGTGTTCTTTTTCTGCTCGAGGAGCAGCTTTGGGATTGTGGCGTGATATTTCGCTTCTCGGAGTACCTCCTACTAGTTGTATGGTAGTGTGTCTAGCCAGTACATCTCGATGTGTTCCATCAGCTCACAGAGTCCGTTGTGTTGCGCGAGGTTTGACTTTGGATTTGGATTGAGTTGGCAATTTTAGTCTTTAGTTTGTTTTGTGTTCTCAGGATGTCATTCTATGGGCTCTGGTGACTTCATATTTTGTATTTTTTGCATGTGTGTCGATGTGTGTCGCCATAAACAAATATGTGTACGGATGTGATGGTCAGTCAGGTACGGACTGCAGGATTGTGGCAGGGCAGGTCTTTTCTACAACGTTGTTACGCAGGTTTGGGGATGCAGGCAGCAGGCTGATGCACGCTGATATTGTCGAGAGCACGAGAATAGGGTTTTCCTGCTGTGCAGGCAGAGGCTGAGGAGTGCGTTAGCTGGCAGGCAGGCTGAGGAGTGCGCTAGCTGGCAGGCAGAGGCTGAGGAGTGCGCTAGCTGGCAGGCAGGCTGAGGAGTGCGCTAGCTGGCAGGCAGGCTGAGGCTGATTTGCATGTTGTTGTTGAAGGCTCCAGCAGGTGGTTATTTTGATATAGCGAATGAACCGCAGTCATGTATGTGTTCTCGCCGACGGCACTGTGCGGCCAAAAACTGAAAGGCACGGGGTGCGTGCGTACGCAGGAGCGGTAAGCGCAGCAGGCAGGCAGGAATGGTGTGACCTCGTGCTCTGCCCAGACGCGCGCGCACGCGCAGCATTGATCGATCTCGCTGTCTTTTGGAAGTAGCTGCCCTTCACTGCATGGCTCACAACAGCCTAGTGGCTGCACTGCATCAGCGCAATCGGCAACGAAACTGCAGTGCAGGGATGGCGAGCCGTGTATGTATGGGCACAGCTTCTTTGTGTATGTATGTATGTACGTTTCTGTATATGTATGTATTTCTGGTGTAGGTGTACAAGGCGTAACGCACATGATGAGCCCTAGAGACCGAAGGCTTGTGTTTTTCCATTTGTGATGACGTCAGACTTCCGACAGGTTGTATTGTACGTGCTGGAAACGTGCTAGGAAGGCAACGTTTGTTGCTGTTTTACAGCAGCAGTGATGGGCCTTGCAGCTTGAGGTTTTATGTTGTTCATGCTGTGCGATAGAATATGCTCCATTAGTCTTATCTGGTGTGCAGCAACATCAATAGCGTTTGAACTTTAGGGTTTCACGGTGTCCCTATTGGTTTGTGTTGCAGTGGTGGCAGCACAGACCGTTTTTGCTTTCAGTCAGTGGCAAGATCGTCTGCAATGGATGTTGTGACGGTTACCGAGGGATGCTGCTCCAGGGTGGGTTGGGACCCAGGACCGTGTTGTGAAAATTGCGTTGTTGTTGGGGGTGGGGGTGGGGTGGGGCGGGGCGGGGGCCGGACGACTGACCTCGATAGTGGAGGTTTGGCTGTGTGGCTCTACAGAAAGCAAGAATCCGTTTCGGAGCTGCTTCGTATTTTGCCAATGGGATGGTAGGTTCATGGTGCAGTATATGAGGAGGACGAGTATTATATATCAGTCGCGAGGCGGCGGCTGGATAACCTGGTAGATTTTGGGCGAGGTGGACGATGCGTGGGTGATGTGCGTGGATTATTGGTATATTGTGTATTTTGCATTGGCGGTGTGCTGCGTTGTCAGGATTTGTATATAGTTAGCGTGAGGGTGCCTGGATGGCATGAGGGTGCCTGGAAACTGGCTTATGGGGTCGGCATTGTGCCTATCTGGTGTGTCAGCTGTTGTCGAATGGTGTTAGCGTGAATGAAGCGGCGCTGACGTGAAGCACTCTGATGCAGTGCAGTTGTTTGCCGCCGCAACTTAGTCCCCTGGGACATTCGCAAGAAGACTCTCGAAATGCGCGAGATTGATTTCGCGCATCGATGACGCTAAGCTAATTGGACTATGTAACGTTGTTTATATAATCCCCATGCTTTGGGTGGTGATGTTGAACCGGACAGCTGGCTGCGAATATGATCGTCAGTCATCGAATGCGAAATGCTGTATAGTCCATACAACAACATGCCTATCAAGTCCGATTGTCCACATTAAAAATTGCTTCTCTTCGTTCATGAACGAGTCTGCAAAGGCAAAATGTTCGGTCTGTTTTTCGTAGGCGTCACTGGACCTATCACATCAAGCCAACTTGTGCAAGTAGACCAAACACATTGGGTGCTGGATTGCAGCAATATTATCGCAAACTACACTGATCTTAAGGAAGTTGCGCTTTTCCTGCTGCCCGGAAGTGTTTTGGACCCTAACCTGGCTCTCGGCCTCTATGTCAAGGCGGGCGCCGTCGGGCAATGGGCGTATAGAGGCTGTGTGCACAATACCCATCCCAGTGAGGTCATGCCCCTGCAGGTATGTTGCGGCAGTGTGTCACTCCGGACAAGAATGTTGCTTACGAGATCTATGTTTTGCGTCGCAGTGGCCGCTGAACGACGATGGCAGCCCTTTGCCTTCAAGCTTAGGACCCGTCCAGATAGGCATTTCCATTGAGCCGGGCGAGCAGATCATTCAAAACGAGGGCAGCGCGCACGGCGCGAAGGAGGAGTTTGCCAAGAGGGTTGGCCTTGACCTATTTCGATTTCTCGAATCATTCCAAACGCAGCAGATGGGCGATCACATTGTGGTCCCCGCCAATGCGCTGGATAGGTGCGTCTCGCCCCTATGTTTTGGTCCTTTTAGGTTGTGCGTGAACAACAGGCCTTTCCGTGTGGTATTTGCAGGTGGTTTGTACGCTTTTCGGAGAAGTATCGCCGCGACCCCGACTTCTTGACTCGTCGGAAAGAAACCTTCTGAATTTATGCCGTACATGAGCTCGGCCGGAATGATTTGAGGGTTCTGATCTACCATTTGCTGTAGGAATCCCGCTGCGTTAGGTTGTTGTTTCATCACTCATTTAATAGCTTAGCTGAACCCGTTTCAGGCGCCGTGCTTTTTCGCGGATGAAACAGGACGCACCATCGGGGAAGAAAGGCAGTAGTTCAGGTGGTCGTGGAGGCAACAAAACAGCTGATTCCAAATCGGTGCCAGGCGTCCGGAAACAGGGAAAAAAGCCTTCACACGGGCGGCAAAGCGGCCGGCAACCGACACTTCCCAAGCATCAGGCGGCTGCACGGGCCCTTTTACGGGGTTCTGGTCTCTGCACAGACAGCCTTTCCACGTTACTAGAACAAACCTTGGATGAGCTGCAGGACAAGAATATCAAGTGCCAGGGCGCTATAGCAGCTGCCCGGATGGGTGGGGCTGAACCGTCTCCACGCAAGTCGCACCCGCCTGCTGCGCCGCCCCCTACGCCAGCTGGAAAGGTGGAGCTCCATGGTGTGAAGACCAGTCGCCTTGCAACCCTTGACCCGGGGTCCGTGCTGGACTCGCTGTCCACCTGGGGCTTGTAATGGTGTGGGATGGCTTTGCGGAAGTCTCCGTGTATGCTAACGGCTTGGGACATACGGTGCCGACTATAGGATTAGACGACAGGGTACGCGGATACGTCTAAGGGCAAATTTGCAGTCCAGTCTTGCCTCTTGGCGTGCCGCGGCCCTGTGAAGTATCAGCTGTTCTGGTGGGTTCCTCCTGAAGATGCTTGGGGTCAGGGCAGCGCAAGTACATACGGCACATGGCCGACATGTCATATTCCATGTCAAGGTCGGTAATTGGCTACTGGTTACGGACTGCCTGCCGCCGAGAGCAAGGCCTGGTGTGCACGACAACACGCTGGACGCCATGCGGGCTGCCTACCTTGCTTCTTTCCACAACCATGGGCGCTTTTTGATGTTTCGACCAGAGGCGAGCATTGTGACGACAAGAGGCGATGCTTGTTACAGGTGGTGAAGGAGCTGCCAGTCGTGATGGAGCGTGAGGGAATGCATTCCCTGGTTTGATAATGTAGTAGCTACAGGCAGAGAGGCCACACAGAGGAAAAGTTCCCGGGGTAAGGGCCATTTGGGTTACCTGATATCGATTGACGCGTGGCCATAGACGGATTTGGGGCTCCATGCGGGCCACAACTGCACACATGCTTGCGGTGCTGAATTGAGAGATGGGGCGACGCGAGGGACCGCTGTTTGTTGTCGCAGCGTGCTTACAACCTCCATTGCGCACAGATAATATGGCCTTGGAAGGTCAGGTGTAGCCTGTTCTGTTGAATTTTGACGATGGTGAATCTGACATGTCGATGAAAAGGGGGGTGCGAACATCACCGACATGACCGACCGATGTATTAAAAGAGAACAATCGGCTGTTTAATCGTTACATTTTGTTTAAGCGCCGGGCAAAATGGAGAGAGTACTCCTTCCACAATCGCTGCGAGGGAAGATGGGGAAAGGGCAATGTGGGTTTGGAGAGAGGGTTTCGGCAGTTGGGGGTTACGGGAGCTCCGTGTGGTGATGTATGCGCAGGGTGGTATAGCAAAAGGGCATTGGGTACTCAGCATTAGTAGCAAGGTGTTTTTTTCTCTGCCATTTTGGGGTATCCTCTGTTAATACCACTATGTTTGCAGAGGGTTCGGATGGGGCATGTTCTTCTTCAAAAAAGGGGTGCGGCAGTGTGCAGCGGCACCAAAAGCGACAGAGGGGAGCTTACTTCCTCGGGCGACATCGGCTTGACATGGTCCTGAGCTTGAGGTGGTTGATCTGTTGGACGTTCCTCCGACGACTTCCTGCTTGATAGGAAAGCTTGTGCGGTGCGCGGGTCCTCTCCTTATCGGCTAAGGAATAGTCAAGGGTCAACTGTAGCCACGTGACGGAGAGGGGAGAACCTGCTAGCCCTTGTGGCTATAAAACCGCATCTCTGAGCTTATCCTGGCCAGGATTTGGCGCATCATGTCCATCGGGCCCATCGTCTCCCGTCTTGGCTGCTCACCCATCATCGCAGCAGAAAGGCGTGAGGCAAGCTTACGGGAGAGTTGTCAAAGTTTTTATAAAAATGTCCATGAACCGGGTCCAAAGCTTTCTCCTTTTATGACATCTGTATTTAATTACGGGTTCCGATCCGAAAGCATCGTTCGGTTTAGAGCGATAAACGATCACACAAATGGCAGTTTCCGCAAGGAACTACGGCAACCATCTCATGCATTTTGACGTGCAGGCGGTGCCCTGAAAAGCTTTGCTTACAGCATGCGTACGGCCTTAGACCAAATTTTAATGAGCATTTACGACTCCCATGTCCATCCACGCCCCAGGAGATACGCGGGGAAGCACAGCGGATTCGGGCCTGATACTTGGTTAGCATAAGGCCCCGACATTTTTAGGTCCCCCGGCAACCCTGTCGGTAAGCCGTCTGCCCGAGGAGCAGAAACATGGCGGATTGGCTCGCCCATCTTTGTGCAGAGGGACAACTTCTGCATGCCCTCCAGGGTTTGGTTGGGGTTGCAGGCAGCAGAAGCGGTGGGGCATGACCTCAGCAGCAAAGGGACCCGCCTCAAACTGAATCATTCCAGGGCGACGCGGTTTGATCCTGAATGCCAGGTGTGTGTCGATGTCACATCTGGACAGAATGTGTCGTGAGGTAAGGAACCCAAAACTTCACTGCCCAGAGGTGCTGTGTTTGTCGCTGCTAACCCGCCAGACCTGGCCTTGTTACTTCAGAGCCTTCAGAGCTTGTTACTTCTCCATGAAATCTTGTCAGGTGTCGCACGACGCGCGCCGCGCCCGAAACAGCCACACATGACCTTTTGAAACTCCTCGGCTTCTACGAGGTCACCAGAGACCGAGCCATGATATATAGAGAGCCTCGTCAGGAGTCGCGCAACTCGCACGAAGCCCGAGAAATCATCTCACAGGATCTTTCGGAAAATCGCGGTTTTCACTTCTTTTTAAGGTCCCAGGGGCCAGAGCCGTGAAAGTGAGAGAGGCGTGTCAGGAGCCCCGTGCTTGACGCCACGCGGATGACAGAAGCCCCCTCAGAATCTCTTTGTCGTTAGTCGAGCCGTGAAATACGGAGGGTTTTAGGGTTTTAGGGCCCAAGCCCGAGGTCGTCGCGCAAGACTTTTTTAATCTTCGGTGCTTTCAAGAGGTCCCCACAGGCGATGAACCTTGCGATCTGATCGATGCCATGCGGATATCAGAAGTCCTGACATTTGAGGCTTCGGGCTGGCAGAGGCGCAAGCCTCTCCCGCCTCTTACTGTATGTGGGGCGTCACAGCGACATGCACACAGAAAACGAGGCCGTTATAAACGGATCACCGATCTTCTCATGCACATGTTGCCACGACCATCGCTTTCGCAAACGCACAGAGCGAAAAAAGCGCTCCTCCTCACACATGACCGCCTACATGATCTCTGAGACACCGCGGCCATATGGCTTAATTTCTCATGTAACTTAACGGCTCTCTGTATTGATGTCAATATCTTTTCTAAAACGCACACGCCAAGCGCAATGGCTTTTTCGCATGAGCTCAGTCGCCAGCATGCATGAAAATCGACTTGACGGCCCGGTAAATACCAGTGACCACGCAAATCATCATACCGATTACCACCGAGCATATTATCATTACAATTATTGCGAAGACCTTGCCTGCGAGATTTTGTGTTGGGCGCGCCGGGGAGGAGCCCACAACAGGCGTCGGGGGAATTCCTGGCGGCCCAGGTTAGGTTTGAGAGGCCGCGCTTCCACGATGGGCAGCAACACCCAAAGGAGAAAGGCAACCCTGGTTGCCACCATGTTGCATGAAAATGCGTGATATCATGAAAATCACGACGAGTCCGTACATCAATATTCCTTACGTATGGCCAGGGTTGCAAACGGGGGCAACTATCAGACTACTCCCTCAAACATGCAGGCGAAACCTGTTTCCGTGTTTTCGGCAAAGAGTTCCAGGAACACCGGAAAGGCCACACAGCACTGCACGGCCAGCCACTACCGCCACCGTACGGCTGCACCCTACGAAGCCACAATAAACGCAGCCAGCTGCCTCACCAAAAACACCCGATGATTTTGCTTGCTTAAATATATACATTATACATTATTATTATACCTGGATGATATAGCAGAGACGACATTTGAGTTATTTGGTCCCGGCAAAACAGCATTCACTTGAGTATTTGCGGGATACGGATAGTATAAAAGGTTTTAGAAAGATTAATGATTTACAATGTGTTCGGGGACTTTGGATGGTCGCTTTGCTTTGCCATGGCGGCAGGGCGCCACTGTTGAGATCCTGCAACAAGGCATTCGAAACAGCCAAGCGCAACAACATGAGCCTCACATGTCAAATTTTCGCAAGCATACCGGAATGCTCAACATTCTTCTGAGCAACAAAACGGAGGGGACGCTGCCTGCGAACGTTGACAAGTACTCGTTTTCCACATCTGCACCAGTGGCAAAAGAGCTGGATTCTCAGGATAATGGGTTTCTTCCGCAGCCTCCATTGCCGTGGATTGCTGAAGGCCACCAAGGCAAGAGCGCGACACACACTCAGTTGATTCAGCATGCTCGGGCGCAGCAATACCTGTTTGGTAAGCCGCAGCTCAACAGTTGCACAGTGAAAATGACACACAAGATCCTGATGTGGGGCGCAGAAGACAATGGTCAAACTGTCCTGGCTGGCGAATACCGGACCCACCCTGCATACTCTGCACTCTGGGAACCGGCTTCTCTTCGATTCTTGGGAATCCCTTCATTTGGCGTTCGTTTCATGCTCATTTTGTGCTCACTTCGGAATGGATTGCTAAGCGGCCACGGACCCAGCGCCCCTATCAGGCATGCTGCCGTTAAGGGCAAGGCTTACTCGCCCCCAAACTAAGCCCATACTGTTAGTCGGGGGCCCCAGCCAATAGACTACTGCTTACCTGCTGCATGAAGCCTGCTTTCTTGGTGCTGACCCATTTATCGGTCATTTTTTTCGCTGCCATAGACTTCATATTTTTCCATCCATCACCATACATGTACACAGCGACATTCTGGTAAAATGCCGTGTGGGTGTAGCCAATGCATTGATGTTAGGATCCCGGTTGCATGCTTCGGATACCCCCCATCATCAAACGAGGGAGGTAATGAGTCCCCCAAATCCAGGGCCTTTACACCCTTCCCATCTGTTGCTGATCTAAGCAGGAGTAACCATATCAGAGTCTGGTTCTCCTTGTGAATTGCATGAGCTAAACTGCTATCCTGGTTTTCGACACCAGGTTTCACCTGGAATTCTTCAGGAGGCACATATCTAAGTGCAGCTTTTAGGTATTCGGCTGAATGCTTTGGAAAAGTTTTCTTCCTCGATGCCATGAAAGATTCACATCAATTTACGTTTGGTTGATCTTTTCTTCGAAGACATTTCTCTATGAAGTCTACGGCAGCGAAAAAATGACCAATAAATGGGCCGGCATCAAGAAAGCAGGCTTCATGCAGCCGGTAAGCAGCTCGGGCCCCTGATTGACAGTATGGGCTTAGTTTGGGGGCAAGTAAGCCTTGCTGTTAACGGCAGCATGCCTGATAGGGGCTCTGGGTCCGTGGCCGCTTAGCAATCCATTCCGAAGTGAGCACAAAATGAGCATGAAACGAACGCCAAATGACGGGATTCCCAAGAATCGAAGAGAAGCCAGTTCCCAGAGTGCAGAGTATGCAGGGTGGGTCCGGTATTCACCAGCCAGGACAGTTCAACCATTGTCTTCTGCGCCCCACATCAGGATCTTGTGTGTCATTTTCACTGTGCAACTGTTGAGCTGCGGCTTACCAAACAGGTATTGCTGCACCCGAGGGGTGCTGATGTGACTTTGACCTCGGTCAATGGAGGCAGCCAATCTTGTTTGTGCTCATATGATTTTTGTTGGCTATGGGTGAGATACCTTGCAATAGGGAATGCAATATATTACCAATAACGCGTTTCAGCTGGGCGAGATATTATGTTTGGTCCATTACACACACACACACACATGGCCACATGACCACATGGACATGGGCAATCCTACAGGGCGGGGGCCCCTTGGGCACTTCAGGCTGGGGCCCCGCCCAAAAACAAGTTTCAGCTGTCGGTTTTCTATGACAAGTTCCTCTCCATCACTTTGATAACCTGCCCAATATAGTAAAGTAACCCTATTATTGAGAAGTGCCATGCCTACACTGGCTGGTAAGGCATGGAGACTGACCTGCTGAGCTCTGCATGTTACTGTGCTCACCATCAGTTTTTTTTCATTTTTGCCGTCAATTTTCCAGTCCGAATGGAGGAATAGGCTTTTGGTCGCGGGAATAAAAGTATTCCGAATCTGTAAGGCGCTGGGGGGGGCTACACCCCCCCAGACTCCCCCTGATGAGTTTTAGTATAGTTTGTACAAACACAGTGTCACAACACGTGCACACCACAATCTCTCCACAGAGGTGTCTCTTGCACGCCAGGAAGCGGCGCGCACTTGGATGCTTTGACAGGAACCCCGGCTGCACGGGCGACTGCTGTTGCAGGGCCCAAGAAAACACAGGCCAGTTAACCCCTACTCAAGCACTGATCAAACAGAGTTCGTTCACCGTCGTTCGTTTTGCATCATGTTGAAAGATAACACTACACGACTTTCCGCGGAGTGTGGGGTTAGGAGTCTTAGCTGCAGCGCCGGGGTTGCTGCTGCCATCGACCTCGATGCCCGTGTTTCCTGGCCCATCACGATTGTCTTCATATGAAGAACGTTGACGTTTGGCCCGCTCGCTGTTCACAACCGGAGTGGCATCATTGCGTCCTCATTGCCTACGACCTCTAGGCCGTCTTCATTGACGTCGCTAATGGCTTGCGTGAAATTTAATATCTTCTTTAATGGACTTCCACGTTTTGGGAGCTTCGGGTCCGAATATTTTGCAGCGTTTGGTCCGGTCAGAAACAGTCCGATTCCTCGTTGACTTTCGGGCTTGACCTTCCTAACAGTATCCATGGCATTAAAGTACTTTGATATGGTTAATATGATGTGTGAAACAGGGGGGTATATCTTCGCCCGTGGCAGCTACCCTGCGAAACCCTGCCTTCCCCGGTATTTTGGGGCACCCTCATCCAGTCACCCTAGTCAACTTCTCAGTGGATCGCTCAGGTTCCGCACCCACCACCAGCATCCAACGAAATCTGCCGGGTCGACAGCGGCCCAATTAATATGGGTTAATATGGGTTAATATGTATGTCTCCTGTAAGATTCTAGCGGCTTTGGCATAATAGCGGCTGGTTCTGGACAGCATGCTAGTTCTGGATAGCACGCTGGTTCTGAATAGCACGCTGGTTTTTGATAGCACGCTGGTTCTGGATAGCACGCTGGTTTTTGATAGCACGCTGGTTCTGGATAGCACGCTGGTTTTTGACGCCGCTCAGCTGCCGCCCTTGACGCTGGTGTGCACCATTGCTGCGTGCACAGGGGCCATCGCCGGCTTCTGTGTGGCTGTCCCGGCCGTCCACTGTATATGGTGGATGACTCCCCCGGCGATATGCATGCGTACGCTATCCCACAACCTACAGTTAAGCCCCCATTGAACATAAACGATTCCTTTTTAGTCAGCCTTCCGCCCTTTCATCTTCGCGTTTGTCATTACGTTCCGCTTACAAGCTAATGCCCCGCCTCCTTGACTAATCTTTTCGCAATTGTTAATCCTGCTTAAAACGTTAATCTTACCATCTTTCTTTCCAGAACTGGTAGTATGCATGACTGCATGCATGGATGGAAAACTCCCTGCGACAGAAGTTTTTTTTAATTAACTTACCTTGCCATGATGATATAAATGACCCTTCCACTCTTACACATTTTCAGGCCTTCCTCGCAGCCAGGTACGACTTTCGCCAGGACTTGATCTGGACCAATAAGGAATACGGGCTCGTCCACACTCAGTAACAGTCTAACGCTCATGCTGCCAAGACATCTCTTTTGACTCAAACTTTGCATACAAAAACATATTTAAATACGTTACATAAGATACACACACATAACACTTGAATTGTAACCTTGGATATGAGCCCTTGCTCAGCTAGACAGGGCTTCCTGCCCACCAAGCGACACATATTACAAAGCCGAACGGGCAGCACCTGCAGTTCCATGCAGATGTTGAATTTGCGGGTCAGGGTTGGCCTCTGCGTCATATTATCGCTCCTATGGGCTTCGAAGGTCTATGGCGAGGTGTTGGCCGCCGGTAAACTTGAGAAGTGCGTCAGAGATGGTGTAACCGAGGTGCGCCGCTTTCAACTACTGTAAATTATAATAAATTTATCCGTTGCATTATTTACCATGGTTAACCACTTCTATTTGCAGGTAGTGCAATGTTCCGACAAGCTCGTCATCACTGTGACCGTTGCAAATGGCCAAACCTTGAAGACTGAGGAACTTGATCTCACCGTACTATGCGTTAACAGGTATATATGCGCACATCCCTGGTTCAATAAGAAAGACGTATGCCGATACAGTCCTTTTGAACGTAATCACGTTGTGGGTACAGCAGCAGCACTGGTACGTAATAGCACGCACGCGCGCGTACATGGTCGGCTGGGTTTTGCGGCGAGCTAGGAAAAGCGCAACTGAGTAATTGCGCCTGAGGCATACATATGCTGGGGACTAAGCGCCGCTTGTGCATCGGCCCAAGCTGGCCTGCCCCCACATACAGCAACCCTAGCTTGCTGCTGGTGTGGGCTCCTTGTACATTCGTTTGGAATGGAAGGAAGCTTGACTGCTTCTAAGGAGGAAAAAGCTGAAGGATGCACCCCGCCGGCCAAGAGGATAACCTTTACAATCCCGCAGTCCCCAAGTGTAAGATAGAGCGGCATAGCGCGAACCCCCGCATAGTTAGGACGTCAGGGTGTCTCAACTAATGGCGGGCTTTAGGCATATTTAGACAGACCCCGCCACAATCATCAGGCGTTTCTGGTGAAGCAGCTGGCTGCGTTTATTGCGGCTTCGCCGTGGCTTTCGCATTTGGATGTGTACGGATTGTTATTCAGGCCGCTCGTACATGCATCACGATTTTGTGAGGGGTTGCTGAACGAATAAAGCTAACCTGCCTAGGGATCGGGGGTTATCCTGGATACGGCTCCTGACAAGCTCCATGACCTGCGCCGTCTTTTTATTTGGTCGGTAGGCAAAACGAAACCAGTGTGATTACACAGCTTTTAAATGCATCAAATCTTTAGCGTTAGGTCACCCCACCCGCAAGCATTGTATAAGGATTTAGCATACATACGGCAGCAGGCATCCATGCATGGAACTGTTATCGATCCGCATGCCGCTTGTGCATATATTCCTACACACTTTTCCCTACTCTTCTGCCTATGTAACTCCTTCGCAGCCCAACGGGCGAGTGCCCGTGTCCTTGCAACGCCGCTGTCGATGAGGACTGCAGCTGTCGTGATCTGGCGGCGCCCATGAAGGTGACCATCACCAAGTCCCTGCTTTGGGCATCCTACCCGCTGACTTTCGTCCAGCAATTCAATTGGAAACCAGTCGAAATCATCCAGTACACCAATAGCAAGAAATGCAGGGTGAGAACGAGAGAGGGGGTTATCAGTACCCTATCATCATGAGACTGCTGCTGACTGCTGACGGCTGATTGTTCATAATGACGTCCTATAGCCTGCACGGCTCGCTGCAATACTATGGGCGGGAAATGAGAGCAGCAATATGCTCCAATAGTGTTGAAAGGCAGATTGCCGGAACTATGGAGCTGTCATGTGCTCACTTCACTCTTGTCGCAGCAAAGCGGCAAACATGTTAATTAGACGCCTGACTCAAAAACGGGTCCTAACACGTCCAGGTAGGGTGCTTGATTGCGGTCTGCTGCAAGGGCCGCGTATGATGATGTGTAGTAGCTGGTACACAGTACGGCACACATAACATCTACAAATTAGCGCTAAGCGCTCCAACAGCATCTCGAGAGGCCTTTTCAGCGGCCAGCTACCACATGATGCCCCCGCGACATTAAGCCTAGGCTTTATTATTTGGACTCCGACCGTTATCACCACCATCGCCATCCTTGGAGTGGTGGCATTCGGAATGCCGCATGACCATCGTACAGCGGCCTTGCTGCACCTGCTCATTGCTGCATTCCCGTGATACATTGGCGTGCAGGACGGTGATTACGAGCAATATCCAACATGCCCTTATTATTACGACGGAAAGGACAAAGTTCCTGACAGCCAGGGCTTTTGCTGCCAGTGTAGCTCTGGGGAGGTCTGGGATGACACATTTGGCGACTTGAAGTATCGCACGTAAGTGAAAGGGTGCTTTTGCAATCCGTTCTGGGTATGGTATGGCGAGCTCTGTCCATTTGCTGGGGCATGGTAACCTCCACTGCGTGGTGGATGCTAAAGTTGCTACTTGATTGTTGGCATGCACAACGATATAACGGCATCACGTTTTATCCAATCAAGCCGAAGGAGTAGATCTACGTACTGTAGTAGCTGTAGATACTACGGCGCACATATAGTGCCGATGATTGCACGCTAAGGCGCTCCATCAGCATCCTAATAAGAGGCCTTTTCCGCGGCCAGCCACCACACGAACATGTGCCTAATATCTTTCGTACCAGCCCATACACCCAACCCGTTACATCTGGCCCTGAAAGGTCGTCGGAGGTTACTGCTGCACCTCAACACACCGATTGTGGCAGACGAGCCTAATCTGCCATCTAGTACGGCCATCAGAGACGTTCCTCCGCCCCTGTCGTGGTGGTGTGCAATACATTGACACGTGCTTTGTTTTACAATGCGCTCCTATGGCAAATCGCACGCGCAACCTTTCAAGCAAGCAGTACAACAAATTGCCCTCCCATTGCCCTGCCCCGCTACCGCGGCTGGCTGCGGATACTACATACTGTTGGTACCTCCGTGCATGCATCCCTCCCTCCGCAGGCGTGCAAATCTGAACTGCGATTTTAGGCTTGGCATGTTGATTGGCATCTATCCAGCCGCTGCCCACTGCGTCCAATTGGACCGTTTTAATTTTGCCGTGAGTACCCGGGTTGGGCTGGTGAGGGTGGTTAACGACTTGTGCATTTCTTATGGATAGCCCAGCAGCAGGGGTGTGGAAGGGAGTGCAGCAATCGCTTAAACAAGGATACTTTTGGCTATACATAAAATGCTGTTATGGCAAGCTCAACCTGCAAAACGAGCAATAAAAGCGATTTGCCCTTGAGGACCACAAAGGTAGCATCCTGTCCCTGGACGGTAAGTTGCTGTATGTCCACGTCAGGGGCGTCGGGGATTGTATGCATGTGGCTTACAAGTGGTCCGGGAATTTTCTATTGATAGAACTCGGAATCGATACGACGACCGCAATAGATATCTATCCTGAGCTAGGAGTTCATTTGACACACTGTCCGTATCGGTTCAGAGTTCTAATCATCGTATCGATCCAGAGTTCCAATCGTCGAAACGTTTGCGACCGCCGGTAGTAGCTGCTGTGCATAGTGCGGCACACATGTAGCAGCAGCGGGTGGTACACAGTACATATCGGTTACAAATACGCGCGAAGTGCTTGACCAGCATCTCAAGAGGCAATGTCAGCGGCCAGCTACTGCAATTGGTACCGAGGCCTCGTACATGATTATGATCCTGAAATCGTCAGATCGACCCCGACGAACCCCTTAAATAAGAACATCGGGATAGACGACTGTCATTGCACGAAATCCGTGAAAGGATATGGCTGTGGTTGTCTGGGAAGACTCTGTGCCTGAGAAAACTTTAAGACAGCTAGGTGCATGTGTGGCCTGCACATGACGTGACGCGGATTGAGCACCCACTGCCCGAGGGTAGGCGAAGGTAGGCACCGGCTGGTGGTATACGAGGCCGTAAGGGCCTGAGACGGAATCCTTTAAAGCGGGAAGAATGAAGTAGCTGGTACACAGTACGGCATGCATAACAACTGTAAATACGTCTGAAGCGCTTGACCAGCGTCTCGAGAGGCCTTTTCAGCGGCCAGCTACTATATTGCATATATCCTCGATAAATACGCGCAAAGGTGCTCCGCCAGCATCTATACGCTCCGATTATTCACCCGCTGTCGGTACTTTATGCACCTAGCATCTGTGCCTTGCCACACGCATCCGTTCAGCTCACTTTTTCTTCCTCCTCCCTTCTGCTTTTACCTTCATCTACTGTGCGTTCGTATGTACGCTCGCATGCAGGGCTACAATGTTGGGCCTCCGTCGTTGAACTTTGAAATCTACGTGAACATCGAGATCCCCACCATCCCCGCTGGATGGTCTCCCCGAGTTAACGGTACAAGCAGCGTCAGTGTAAATGCGACGACGCTCTCCAACGGCACCCTTAACACCTCGCAGAATACATTCGTCATGCGATATGAAACCCTGACCCTGAGCCCATCCATACCACTGGCCGTCAGTAAGACCAAAATGGTGTCGGTTAAGCTCCTGGGTGATCTGGCCATGTACACCATGCTGCCAACCTTCGGGTAGGTGCTACAACAGGAATGCAGGTACACGGGGCAAACACTTCATAATGATGCGCACTATAGCTAGCTAGTTATTGAAAGCCCGACATCTTTGTTGGGGATTGACCCGCCGCCGTGAGTGCACTGATTGTTCGAAGGAGTTACACGCCACATCAGGACTATTATTTGCCGCGGTGTTTGATTGACGTTGCATCCCGAGGAGGGAGGGCCGTTTGCGCTGACAGATCCTTTTTGAATGCATCACCACGTATGCATCTGTTGCACGAAAATCTCTCAGTTAGAATGCTTTATCTTTACATTCATTGGGTGCATGGCAATATACCCCTCATCACAGCGTCATGGGTTGTTAGTTGGCAGGCATGGGATATACACACATAATTATAATCTGTAAGTGGGCGATCTGAAGGGGTGTGAAGCTATCTAGGTTAGGCCCATCAGCCCCCCAAACCTACTTGTATGGCGTACCTTAGCATGACATGGCGCGGAGTTGGGCGCTGGAGTGCTTAGCTAGCTAGCTAGGCCACCTCAACCTGGTGTAACAATGTATGTGTGTGTATGAGAACGGGGGACAACAAAGGCAGATGGGCTTAAAACATGTCTGTATAATTTTTATCGTCTATAGATCTTCTCCTGGTATATGAACGAGGAGTGTCCCTTTCTAGGGCACGGTCTGTAGACGATCAAAAATTATACAGACGACTGTCCGATCCTGCCATCTTTCTTGAGTAGTCAAGCTAACTGTGAGCGCTTAAAAACCTGGCCTTGATGTTAACACGACAGCAGTGAAATTGAGGCGGGGTGTGCAGTTAGGTGTGGAGGCAAGCTGCTGTGGGCAAGAGATAACACGTATATCATATCCTACAGCTCATGTGACACATTCCATTCGACATTCAGTTGCGGGCCCAGGAAGTGTTTCCATTAACAGTCTTTGCTTTACCAATGAAAATGCCATAGCTTTCAAACGTGCCCCTCGCCCCAACCCCCCACAGACACCAGATGCTGATGCTTCCACTTTACGACATAGGTAATCGCAGCACCTGGATGCTCGTGGACAAGAGCCTGATTAGCCTTGATGGTGAGTTTGCATGGTAATATGCACAAATTAAACTTCATGCATGATAGCCCAGGAAGGATATCAGGAGGAGCAAGTGGGAAGGTGTGTTGTGTATGCCCGGTTTCGTGTATCCCAGGCTTCCAGGAAAAATGTAAATGGCCCCGCAGCAAGATGCGATGTCCCAGGTACACATCTGTACGACACGGCACGACAGAGGGCGAGTGAAAAGCAGTGAAAGCGTGCAAAATATTTGCTTTCGTGTCGTGCTGCTGCGTCAGCATGGCTGAGGAATAAATAAAAATCGTGGCGTTGGAGGGAGCCGTGGCTAGTGATGGAATGCTGACCGTGAAAACTTAATAAGATGCACTCCAGGCATCAACCTGCATGCATATGCTTAACCCCACGAGGCCGCCGATTAATCGCTGTAACAATATTGTTACAGCGGCATGTTATAATAATAATAATAATAACCCTAACAATTCGGTCCTGTACCGAGGCGTGATACAAGGGAGTTGGGAATAGTTAGGTCCCGGGTTCCTCATCGTTGGCATGTGTGTACATCTCACACAACCGCAGCAATAGACATATGCATACATAGCTTACGTAGCTCATCTCCATTTCCCAGTCATAGGTAGTGTTTCACATCGCACGTGATGCCTACTACCTTGTTCGGCTCTTTTGCTTTTTGCAGGCCGCACATGTGACAAGATTGGCACCAGCTTCTCAGCCTTCCGCTACCAGCCAAGTGGTTGCCATCGAGCAGTGTCGGTGGGCCTTTGCCTCTTCCTAGCACTCCGCGGAGTCTACATAGCCTCCGCTCTAACGTAGCCTAGCCTAGCCCTAAGGCTAAGACAAAGCCAAGCATAGCCACGCTACCACATAATGGACGTCTGTAAAATTTCTGATCGTCCATAGATCTTGATATAGAAGATTTGGACCGTCCATCGGATATTGTTGGGCATTATCACGCCTTGCTGGTTATTGCCATGGGACGACATGTACAGGCATATATGCATATGGACCGCTATTGAGGACAGCTTGTTGGAGTCTGTGAGCTCCTGACCTCCATCCCTGTTTTGCTGATGTGTACGTCAGAATAATTAATATACTCCAAGACTACAAGTTCGCTTGGCGACCATGCCTATAATGTATAATGGCCCCAGCATTATAACCTGATCTGCAGCAAGCCCTAACAGGCCTTCACATACATACATGCATGGATGAGGGTGCCCCGAAATACCGGGGAAGGCAGGGTTTCGCCTGGTAGCTGCCACGGGTGAAGATATGGGCCTCCCTGTTCCACACATACATACATACATACATACATACATACATACATACATACATACATACATACATGCATCCCCTTCCCTGCTGATATCGATGTTGCCTGCGCCGTTCCCTCCGCTCACCCACTTCCCCTATTCGCCTCCATAGACCTGCCTGAAAGGCCAGCTGAAGGACCTGTACGACGAAGACATGGACCGCATCAAGAAGGGCCGGGCACCTCTTTACATGGTCTCACAGTATCCAGGCTACGAACAAGCCTCAGTAAGAATTAAGGCATTTTAGCATCCGCCACGATTATAGTTGCAATCGACACCAGATAGGTGGCATTAGCAATGAATATTATTGGCAGACCTACGTGCTCAAGGCATGCTAACACTGCAGAATTTCTCTCTTTCGTTCAGCTGCTTCACCCATGCACGCACAACCCGCGCCCACCGTGTATGCCCTACATGCACCTGTACACTGGACGACAGTTTACGGCCGGCAAGTTCGGCAATGAGACCGTCTTTTTACTGCCCGTCACCAGCCAGTCGCAGTCTGTATTAACACTTACTGTGTCGGCTGACAAGCTGCGACTGATAACCAACAGAAGCCCTGGCAAGGTACGGATGGTGGTACGGAGGTGGTACGGCAAAAATTACACCGAAGATGCATTTGTGCTTCGTTGGTGATCGTAAAGGTGTTGTATGACGACTTTTTCAATTCCGTTGTGAAGTAGCGCGTGGGTACAATTCCAGAAAAGAACCGATCGGTGGATGCAAATCCCATGACATACCCGGGAAACCACAAAAAAAGGACATGCCAAAGCTGCCATGCGTGTGGCAGCCCTCTTCACGTGCACAAGCCAGCAGGCCCCACAAATGGTTGTGGTCTTTTCTCCCCTGGCTGTGGTCGTGATACAGTACAGCACGTGCTTAAGCCATCTTACAGATGCTTTCAGTACCATAGCGCATGCTTACACCATCCTACAGCAGTACAGCTCATGCATATGCTTACGGTGTAAGCATCTGTTCACAAAACACCTTTCAACATTCCGAGAGGCTTTCTCGGCTGGTGGCCAGCCATCAGCCGCGGCTTGTACAATGACATATGCTTTCATCGATGATATCAAGAAGTGCTGTCGTTCCATGGCCATGGATTGTTTGTCCGCCTGTTGAACTTAAGCCGGCAGCCATCCTCTGGGGTTTCCTTACCTTCCACTTCCCCCCCCGCAGATCTCCGATGTACAGCTGTGTCGATTTGGCAATGCATCCCACTGTGGCTTTTTCGAAGCTGGCAACCGGGGCTACATTCGGCTCAATGTCACAAACACTGGCCGCCTGGACGCCGACTACACGGTCGCAGTGACCAATTGCTCCTCCAATATCAGACCCATTGAGGCCCGCATGATCGCAGTATCGGCCGGCAGGACGGCCCCCCTCTGGCCGCCCATTGAGGTGTACGTTGAGGACACGGAAAACAAGACAAGATCTTGTTCGGTACTCCTGTACGATTCCACGGTAAGAGAACTACAAGACAAGTAAGCCGTACATGACGCCAACCCTGTGTAGATTTTGTGTCAGGGAAATATTGGAAGAGGCGACGGAGGACGGGGGTGTGCAAATATTCGGTTCTTCTTTTTTAATGGCGAGAGCTGTTTCATACTGTTCCTAAGAAGCTGATGTTCACAGGACTTCGTCGGCAGCAGACTGACTCCGGAAAGCGCTTGGCATGTAGATGTCTCCTTGTAGGTTAGCATGACCTAGCATGCATAGGTTTTGAGTCTCACCCTTCGGGCTCCTCATCCTTCGGGCTCCTCATCCTTCGGGCTCCTCATCCTTCGGGCTCCTCATCCTTCGGGCTCCTCATCCTTCCGGCTCCTCATCCTTCGGGCCCGCCAACCTTCGGGCTCCTCATCCTTCCTCATCCTTCGGGCTCCTCATCCTTCCTCATCCTTCGGGCTCCTCATCCTTCCTCATCCTTCCTCATCCTTCGGGCTCCTCATCCTTCCTCATCCTTCGGGCTCCTCATCCTTCGGGCCCTCATCCTTCGGGCTCCTCATCCTTCGGGCTCCTCATCCTTCGGGCTCCTCATCCTTCCTCATCCTTCGGGCTCCTCATCCTTCCTCATCCTTCGGGCTCCTCATCCTTCCTCATCCTTCGGGCTCCTCATCCTTCGGGCTCCTCATCCTTCGGGCTCCTCATCCTTCGGGCTCCTCATCCTTCGGGCTCCTCATCCTTCGGGCTCCTCATCCTTCGGGCTCCTCATCCTTCGGGCTCCTCATCCTTCGGGCTCCTCATCCTTCCGACTCCTCATCCTTCGGGCCCGCCAACCTTCGGGCTCCTCATCCTTCCTCATCCTTCGGGCTCCTCATCCTTCCTCATCCTTCGGGCTCCTCATCCTTCCTCATCCTTCCTCATCCTTCGGGCTCCTCATCCTTCCTCATCCTTCGGGCTCCTCATCCTTCCTCATCCTTCGGGCTCCTCATCCTTCCTCATCCTTCGGGCTCCTCATCCTTCGCTCCCATCCTTCGGGCTCCTCATCCTTCGCTCCTCATCCTTCGGGCTCCTCATCCTTCCTCCTATCCTTCGGGCTCCTCATCCTTCGGGCTCCTCATCCTTCGGGCTCCTCATCCTTCGGGCTCCTCATCCTTCGGGCTCCTCATCCTTCGGGCTCCTCATCCTTCCTCATCCTTCGGGCTCCTCATCCTTCGGGCTCCTCATCCTTGGGCTCCTCATCCTTCGGGCTCCTCATCCTTCGGGCTCCTCATCCTTCGGGCTCCTCATCCTTCGGGCTCCTCATCCTTCGGGCTCCTCATCCTTCGGGCTCCTCATCCTTCGGGCTCCTCATCCTTCGGGCTCCTCATCCTTCCGGCTCCTCATCCTTCGGGCCCGCCAACCTTCGGGCTCCTCATCCTTCGGGCTCCTCATCCTTCCTCATCCTTCGGGCTCCTCATCCTTCCTCATCCTTCGGGCTCCTCATCCTTCGGGCTCCTCATCCTTCCTCATCTTTCGGGCTCCTCATCCTTCGGGCTCCTCATCCTTCGGGCTCCTCATCCTTCGGGCTCCTCATCCTTCGGGCTCCTCATCCTTCGGGCTCCTCATCCTTCGGGCTCCTCATCCTTCGGGCTCCTCATCCTTCGGGCTCCTCATCCTTCGGGCTCCTCATCCTTCGGGCTCCTCATCCTTCGGGCTTGCGCCGAGCTCCTCCAGATCTGAAATAACTTCTGGGTCCGGCTCCGGAACGTGGGGAAGAGGGCCGGATGGACTCAACCCCTCCAAGCCGCAACCCCATTGTGTCGTACGGGTATCACAGTGCAATCAGGATATCTATTTGCAAATAGATATGCACCTCCTCAGAGCGAAGGCTCATGCATTAGTTGCTCGTTCCTGTAGACAGTTTCCATGCCCCTTCCATTCCTAATACGGTACACCACATGTTGTATGAGTCCATGACGCGGCACTGCATTATGCTTAAATGCCACGGGCTGCCTATATCGTTCTCCATTATGGATCCGGTTCCCCACAGGGAGGTATTGCCGACCAAACAGAAATGTCCTTTTCTACCAACCAAACCGACTTCGGACCTACACCCACCGGAGGCTTTAACGGAACTGGTGACAGTCTTGCAAGGTTGGAAAAGGACCTAACGTGTGATGAGGTGGGTTTGCAGTACTAGTCCGGGTGAGCATGAAGTGTTGTAGCCAGCCGGAAGGTGTTTCAGGTCATGTGTGCTGCAATATTCAACACCAGTAACGAACTCCGGTGGGCTCTTAAGGGGATACCTCACCTGCTACAGTGGTGGTATTGCCACCCGAGGGACGCATGTGGGTCCACACCATTTCCACACCTCAAATCGCAACATCCAACTAGAGTTTAGGATTGGGCATTAAGTTGGATATTGCTTGCCCTGGCCCAAGGGCCTGCACTATCTAATCTATCCCTTACTCTGTGCACCGCTTTTATGCACGCAAACATATTTGCATTGCATGCATGCTGCTGAGCACCTCCGTCCCTTTATGGAGCATGCATGCAGGCCTGCACAAATCCAATCAATGTTTGGTGCATTGTTGTAAAGCGCTGCTGGTCCAAGCTATTCCGCCTCTTCGGGTTCATGGGCGGCTTGTTCGGAGGATTGGGCCTGCTTGCACTCGCTATTAAATACGGTTGGTTGGCAGCCCTTTTCGGAATGTGCTGCAACCGTGCCGGCAGTGGTGATGGTGGTGGGGCCAATGGCTGGTTCAACAAAAGTGGTGATGGTGTCAACACCGACAATGGTGGCGGTACACAGATGGGTAACAATAAGCAGCCTATGCCACCAATGCACCAGAACAATGTGTACTATGGAGATGGAAAGCAGCGACCATCATCTGCTCAGTCCTTATACAATCCTAACGATCCCTCGAAGCGCATGTCCAATACAAATAGCATCCGCTATGACGCTCGCTCTGGGGGCCGACTGCAGGACACCATGGGGGGCCTGAGGGCTACTCAGCGGACAGAAGCATCACGCCAGTCTTGGTTCAATCCGGCAGCATGGGCTATGCGGCCCTCCAGCCGTGCTGGATCGCTTACTGGCTCTGTTGCCAATGGCAGGGCCACCGGGCTATCAGTTCCAGGTGGCTCCCAGAGAGCTTCCATGGACGGATCCAGGTCTTCACAGTGGTTGCAGATGCCACACAGGTCGTGGTTAAGTCCGTCCACATGGGGAGGGGCGGCACGGCCCTCCAGCAGAGCCGGATCAATAACAGGCTCTGTTGCCAATGGCTTTAAGCCACCAGGGACAGAGGATGGTCCACGGCCTTCACACCAGTCCTCACGATCAACCTGGCTAAACCTGGCCACATGGGCATCCTCGGGTGAGGCGAGGCCTTCCAGTCGTGCCGGATCACTCGGAGGCCCTGTCGTGGATGGCAGGGCCACCGGGCTGAATCCTCAAGGGAGCCAGCCAGTGCCACTAAGTGTGGTCTCACAGCATGGCCCTAAACCTATAGGCAATGATGGACCAAGGCCTTCACACCAGTCTTCACGATCAACCTGGCTAAACCTGGCCACGTGGGCATCTTCTGGGGAGGCGAGGCCTTCCAGTCATGCCGGATCACTCACAGGCTCTCCCATGAATGGTAGGGCCACTGGGCTGCATCAAGGGAGCCAGCCAATGCCTCAGCCAAGTGGGGCCTCCTTGCATAGCCCTAGGCCGCCAGGTACCGAGGATGGTCCACGGCCTTCACACCAGTCCTCACGATCAACCTGGCTAAACCTGGCCACATGGGCATCCTCGGGTGAGGCGAGGCCTTCCAGTCGTGCCGGACCACTCGGAAGCCCTGTCATGGACGGCAGGGCCACCGGGCTGAGTCATCAAGGGAGCCAGCCAGTGCCACTAAGTCACCAAGGGCGCCAGCCAGCACCGTTAAATGGGGTTTCCCTGAATGGTCCCTCACCGCCTGGTGGCATGCATAGAGAGAGTGCAGAGGGAGCGAGGCCTCCGCAGCTGCCGAAGATGCCAAAGAGCTCCTGGTTCAGACCGGCTATGTGGGGCCCCGGTGCAGCCGGGGGAATGAGACCCTCAAGCCCCACAGGACCGGCTGTGGGCGCAGTGGCCGGCAGCAGGGGCCCGGGACCCAGCCCGGGAAATAATCAGCAAGCACCCGGTGTGGGGGTGTCTATGGCGCCGGCAGTGGATCCACGTGCAAGCATGATTAGTGCTGTAGAGCCTGTCACCAATCCAGGCTTGCAAAGGCAGCTGCAAGAGGGGTACAGAGCACCGTCGGGGTCGAGCAACTTGGGCGGCCATCATCAGCATCATCAGCATTACCAGCACTGGTCACAGCAGCCGCAGGGGCCCGCCATGCCGCCTGCCGACAGCAAGCAAAAATGGGGACCGAACCCTGTGTATGAACGTAGGAACGGATGACAGTTGATGAACCAGGGATATGTAGTTAAGAGAAGGTTATCTATATACTATTGCCCTTTCTTAACATCATCTATCTCATCACCAGCTGCAAAGTGGCGCGGGTTCTGTTCCAGTTCCATTGGTGTTATTACTTATACTACTGCCGTGGATGGGTGCACTCGACCATGTACATATGTAAATTTAGCTAGGGTAGGAGGTTCGTTTTACGCTCCGTCTTGTATATCTAATTGGCTGGTGGGTGTGGCAGCCGAGAAGCAATTGGATAAGCCATATATAATCATGCACTATCTATCTATCTGTAGTAGCTGGCCGCTGAAAAGGCCTCTCGAGATGCTGGCGGTCGCGCTAAGCGCGTATTTGTAGAGGTTATGTGTGCCGTACTGTGTACCGGCTACTACACTATCTCTTCCGCTGATGCATGTGAAGTAGCTAGCTACAGCGCTGGCCTCTGGAAATGCCTCTGTAGATGCTGGCGGAGCACCTTATTAGCGCGTAGCTATCGAAGATATGTGTGCCATACTATGTACAGCTACATAGTATATGATGTAAGTACCGCGGGTACATGGCGCACATACAGACACAAGTTAACTTGCGAACTGACCAGATTCCGTTGGATGCCGGTGGGGCGGGTGCGGAACCTGAGCGATCCACTGAGAAGTTGGCTAGGGTGACTAGATGAGGGTGCCACGAAATACCGGGGAAGGCAGGGTTTCACCGGGTAGCGGCCACGGGTGAAGATATGCCCCTGTGTCCCACACATCAGACAGAAAGCGATTCCTAGATCTCTCGAGGTCTCGCCATTTCCGCCGCCAGTTTTCTCGATACTTTTCTATGTTTGCTGGCCTATTAGTAGGCTCTTCCCTAGCGCATAGTTGTAGGGTACTAACCATTTCTGCTGCTAGCACGTCGATTAGGGATAGGAGAGAATGCTCTGCGTGGCACTAGCGGCAGCAGGCAGGCAGGCAGGCAGGTAACTAACATCTAGGTAGCGTCGTTGTGAGCATTATATATACAGACTTCTTTCATTTCCTAGTGCTTATGTATTTATGGACTGATGACTGTATAGATGTCTGTAGACGATCGCGAGTCCTGTAATGTGTGTGCCCCGAGCCGTACGGCGTGTCTCAACTTGTGGGCTCGTTAGGTAATTTTTTAGGCCAGCAATGATTGTTTCGGGTAAACAGTTTCCGTGCCACAACTGGGATGCCGTCACCAATGCTGTAGTGTAGTAGCTGGCACACAGTACGGCACATGTGTACGTGTACATGTATCAACTACAAATATGCGCGAAGCGTTTCACCAGCATCTCGAGAGGCCTTTTCAGCGGCCAGCGACTGACTACATGTAGCTTGTGTAATTGTCTAAGACCTTTCCAGCGCGGGCGTCACCAATTGTACGACGCACGGCAAATTTTCACAAATTGTACAAAGTTTAAACGAACAACTTTATTACTATTTACATGAGGAAACATATATTTGCATGCGCTGACAAACGTTGGGGCCCGTAGGCCGTCCATGCAAGCGTCCAAAGCTCCTCCAGTCAAATCTTCTTGCAGTTCGCTAAAAACCTGCCAGCTATAAAGCCGTCCCGAAAGAGCATCGTTTAGGCTATGCTCCCACCGCATTAGCACCGGAAGCGGCCCGACTGCCTGGACCTCTAAGTGGGGCCCTTTGTTGCGGCGCTGTCAATGGTTTGAGGTTCGGAAGCATGTAGGGCATCAGGGCAAGTTCGGTTTACGTTTACAAGTCTACAAGTTCCGCATGAATGGGGGGGTGTCCGTCAAAGCCGGGAGGCCATGGACTATATACTTGAAAGTTGAGTCCACCGTACAACCGACGACGGTTCTTGGGTCCTTCTAACTAGACCCCACCTCGTCCAGTCATTCGACATCCGTAGAGACAGGTCCTCCGTCATGGCTATATCAGCATGCGAAACTAGTCCATCAACTAGACCTCATCTCCACACCTCAACGTCAATTGGTAAACTTAGTACTCCCGACCAGTGTCGGGGGTCTACCCAGGAATTGATCCCAGAACTTTCCGCTGCTAATTGCAAATTCCAAGTGTTTCGTCTAGCGATTAGCGTTGAGAAAAAGTACTGATGCGGGCGGAGGGTGTCGAACCCTCGACCTTAGGATATCCCAAGTCACATCACATTATGAGACCTACGCGCTAACCACTGCGCCACGCCCGCTTTTGCATGCATGATATTAATTATAATTATGTCTTTTGCTGCATTAGCATCTTTCCTCTGCTTGTGTGTGAGGTTGCGTGGCCGTGTGGGAATTTTCGCTTCTGAGACCCGCAGTGCAAGCAAGGCCAAGTAATCTTCGCCCTCACAGCATGGCCATCCCCTCAATAGGCATTTTAGCCAAACCAGGGCTTGTGTAGTGTCCTGGATGTATCACGGGATCTGCATCCACCGTTCGGTTCATTTCTGGAAAAGCCGTGATATTACAGCTTGCATAGTGTGTGGGTATGTGTGTGTCACACCTCGAGTTGCCTTACCGTCTGTAAAATGGGGGACTGTCTATAAACCATCTACGATCTATAGCTAGCGGGGGCATTCAATGAATCTATGTACAATCTATCCATCGGTCCTATCAATTATATGATGACCCTGTCTATATGTAGGCCATAGAAAAGTTACCGACGACCCTCCAAAATAAAGTGTAATTAAGTATGATTTGCAGTCGTACTTGTACGATCGGCTGTCATCCCCCTAAACATCCTGTGGTACCGGTAACAGTGCTATTGCGTCCTGCTGCACTGGTGGCCGTGCAAACAGTGATGGGGGCGGTAATAACTGTAGGAGCTTTTACCATGTCCTTGGCAGTCTTAATAATGGTTCCACCTCTGCTGCCAATCCGGCCACAAGCTGTAAGGATGGTGATCCGTCCTGGAGCTTTGGTCCTGCCCTGGGGTATGGTACCTGCTGTGAGGGGCCTAAGCCACCAATGCACCAAAATGACATGGACTTTGGGTACGGGTCGGAACTGATGCCATCATCACCTCAGCCAGTATACACAACCCAAACCATCCTTGGAAGCACATGCCCATTCCGGACAGCATTTACTACGACCCCCAGTCCGGAAGCCGAATGGGAGGCATCCCGGGCTCCCCGTGGCCCACACAGAGCTTGATTCCATGGACAGGAGGGACGAAATCACGCCAGTCCTGGTTCAACCCGGCCGCTTGGGGTATGTGGCTCTCAAGCCGAGCCATGAGCAAGGCCCGCAGGGGTTAGCCAGGCAAATCAGCTTGTGCACCAACTGCCACAACTGAATATCGGGACTTCCATGCAAGGCTACCTGCGGCCTCCACCAAGTATTGGGGCTCAGGAAGCGGCCGCGGGGCCTTCACAGCAGCCACAGCAGATGCCACGTCGGTCCTGGTTCGATCCAGCTATGTGGGGCCGCGGTCCAGCCAGGAGGATGCGGTGGCCCAGCAGCACTGGTTTGGTCGGCGCGGCAGGCTCAGGAGTCGCCGGCAGCAGGATTCCGGAGCCAAGCCCGGGAAACAAGCTGCGCCCATGTGTGGGTACGTCTAATGCACCGGCAGTGGATCCGGATCCGCAGGCAAGCATCATCAGCACCGTAGAGCTTGCGGCCAGACCTGGGCTGCAGAGACGACAGCAGTTACAGCAACATCGATGTTGATATCAAGAGCCCAAAGCGTCTGTCGTACTGTCGGGATCTATCAACCTATCAGCCAATCGACAGCAGCAGCAGTGGTCACCACAGCCGGGGAGACGTCCAGTACATGTACAGCCCGCCAACAGCATGCAGCAATGGCCAACGAACCCCACCTATGCTAGAGACTTGTGTTCTGTGTGCGTAGGAACTGATGACAGACAGAAGCCAGCAGGTATGCAGTAAGTGGTAGCTGCTAGCATAGGCCGCTAGCTATTGCCGGCAAGGCTGTGCTGGTTAACATTATTTACGTTTGATGGGTGCGACGTGATTGGCGCGTTTGTGTCACTGTTTCACTATTCTGTTACATGACGTGTTCTTTACAGAGACGTATTTACTTGTTCGAGCTATTTGCTTGGTGCTGTTGGCGGGTTGGTGTCACCACTGACGATGGGTATGTTTTGCAGCGGCAAGCTGCTGCCTCAGCTGAATGTAGACATATTGCGCGCACGGTTATGCAGCCACGTGATTTGGCCGTGATGATGAGCACGGATGTGTGCATATGTCGCCCGGGAGAGAGAGCTCCGGGCTTTTCGCTCGAAGTGGAGGGCTTCAAGCATGTATAGAGCACAATTTGACGGTTTGCGAAACAGTACGCTTGCTTGATTAGGAGCTGGAGCGCTGACGGCGGTAGCGGCTAAGGGACCCAGCAGATAGATGATGCATCATATGGTGAAAGGTTGCATCACGTGGGCTGGGTCTGCTGCCTGCCTGGATTGCGACTTATCTTCTTGCTGTCAATCATGCTCTGCAGATCAGCTGATCATGATCAGCTACTACTGTCGGACAGCAGTTGGACGAGACCACGTGCACAACATCACAACATTGTAACTGTTGGTGAGACGCTATCTCACAGGGACCTAGCAGACACGACTAAGGAGACATTAGCCGTTACACGTATTCGGGAGATCCGCGACCTACCACCGAAAGCCCCTTTGCCTAGGCGTAAACGTGTGAATCTGAGGTACTGTTACCGATAAACAGCAGAGACTTATAAAGGCTTGGAAAGCCTATCCCAAAGGACGAGAGCTACCAGTACGCTAGAACCTAACAGCCGTTCTGACGGGCCTCCCGAGACAGGTCCAAAGCTGTCACTCAGTCTAACATGCGACCTCAGACCGGCCACAGCTGTCACTCACGACAGCCTGACAAGTTACCCAAACAGGCCACAGGGCGACACGGCAACCCTTCGCATCAACACGCCCCCTCGTGTCGCACTAGGGGCCTTACTACAAATTGCTAGCACCGACGAGCTAGCTCGGCCACCAAGTCCGCGGTCCAGGCCGACTGCTCACCACTCAACAAACACAAACGCAGCTCGCCAGCCTTCAGCCTGATGGCTATGCGGTCTGGTGCTGCTGCACAAACACACAGAGAAAACAGTGCCGTACAGCACCATACGCACTGCCTACGGCGCCCCTTCGGGCATTAACCTGCCCATTCGGGCGCCTGCTCACGCACCCTCAGCACCACCCTAATGCCTAGCTCAAAACAATTCCTCAAAACCCTCAGCACTCCTCCTCTGACGATCTAAGTAACGCCCAGCGCTGTGCGGCAGCGCACGAACTTGACCTCGCCCAGTGCCTTGGTTAGGATGTCAGCCACCATGTCGTCGGTGGTGCAATAGCTGAGCTTCACCTCACCACGCGCGACCCTCTCGCGCACGATGTGGTGGTGCACGTCGATGTGCTTGGAGCGCACCGACGTGATGGGGTTGTTGCCGAGGCTGAGCGCGCCTTGCGAATCCAGTTGGACGTTGACAGCACCCGGGGAAAGGTCCAGATCGCTCGCCAGCTTGCGCAGCCACAACGCCTCATGCACGGCTGCTGCTGCGGCCTGGTATTCGGCTTCCACGGACGAGGCAGCCACGGTGCGCTGCAACTGACTGCTCCAGCTGACCGCCGCGCTGCCGAGCAGAAAAGTGTAGCCCGTGGTGGACCTGCGGGTGGCTGGGTCGCCGGCCCAGTCTGCATCGCTGTACCCACAGAAATTGCTGGCGTCGCCACAGTAACGTAGACCAAGCGCCCGAGTGCCAGAGACGTAACGCAGCACACCCAGAGCGAGCCCCATGTGCGCTTTGGTGGGGGCGGACATGTGCCGCGCCAGCATGCTCAGAGCGTGTGCGATGTCTGGGCGTGTGCTGGTAGCAAGGTAGTTTAGTTCTCCCACCAGCGCGCGGTAGCCACTGCTGTCCGTCAATATCGGCTGGGTGTCACTGGCTGGCAGAACCCGCGTACCCTGGGGTAGCGGGGTGGCACGTGGCTTGGCGTTCTCCAGGCTGTGGCGCTGAAGCAGCTGCTCCACGTAACGCTGCTGTGTGAGCATGATGCTGCGGTTGCGGCGGTCCTGGACGATCTCCATGCCGAGGTAGTAGCGCGCCTCTCCAAGGTCTCGTACAGCGAAGCAACCAGCTATGGCCGCCTTGGCGGCCGCAACCAACTGCGGGTTGTCCGCCGCCACCAGCATGTCATCAACGTGCACGAGCACATCGATTGAGCCATCGGACCCCCGCTTGACGAATAGCGCGGGGTCGGACGTAGACGGTTCATAGCCTAGCTTGCCCAGCTCCGCCGCCAGCTTCTCGTACCAGCAACGTGGGGCTTGCTTGAGGCCGTAAACAGACTTTAACAGCCGGCACGCCTGTGTCGGGTCGCCGTTGCTATAGCCTGGGGGCTGTCGCATCCACAGCTCCTCTGTCAGGTCACCGTTCAAGAAGGCCGTTTTGACGTCCATCTGGTGGACCGTCATACCTCTGGCTGCTGCCACAGCTAGAAGTGCCCGCAGGGAGGCTGCACGCGTAGTGGGCGCAAACAGCTCTCCATAGTCTATACCCGCTCGCTGTTCAAAACCTTTCACCACCAAACGCGACTTGTAGCGTACCTCACCTCCTGGCTCCTGTTTGATTTTGTAGACCCAGCGGCAGTCCAGGATGCGTGCACCGGGTGGCGGCGTGCCCAACTCCCAGGTCTTATTGGAGAGCTGCGACAGAATCTCGTCATCCATCGAAGTTCTCCACTTGTCCGCTTGCGGACTCGCCACCGCTTCCTCATAACTGCGCGGCTCCTGCACCGCGCTGTTGCCTCCGCCGCCCGCATTGCCGTCGCCTGCCTCAGCATAATTTGTGCTTCCCGACGCTTTGTTAAGCAGCGGTGGACTGCCCAAATCTCCGCCGCCGCCGCTGCTGTTGTTGGCTGGGCAGACCGTGGCCAGCGGCGGGTGAAGAGGTTGCCGTTGGCTGCGTGTGTTGGGGCAGGGGGGGGTGCTGGGTTCACTGGGGGCGATGCAACCACTGGAGGCGGCGGTGTGGCGGGCTGTGTAGAGCCGCCGACGGGGTCGCCGCTGCCAGGACGGGCGGGGCCAGCGCCGAAGGAGGTGCCCGCCCGTTGAGACGCCAGGCCGCGGAGGTCGTTGTCGAAGGTGACGTCGCTGCTAACAGTCACCTTACCGTCGACGAGGACGCGGTGGGCGGCCGTGCCGCGCTCCGGTCCAAGGTAGGTTCCCGCCTCTGCGCGGGGACCGAGCTTAACCTGCTGGCTGGTTGGGACGCGGACGTATGCCAGGCAGCCGAAGGTGTGCAGGTGACTGACGTCGGGGGTGACGCCATGATAAGTTGCCCACGGCGTAGCCTCCCGGCCCTGAGAGGGGGAAACATTGCGCAGGAGGTTGGCGTATAGCACAGCTTCCGACCAAAAGCTGTCCGGGAGCGCGGCATCGTACAGCATAGCCCGCACACGGTCGAGGAGCATGCGATTGAGCCGCTCCGCTGCACCGTTCTGCTCTGGAGTGTACGGCGCCGAGTGGGTATGCGCAGTGCCGCGCTGGCGTAGCCACTGTGCCAGCTGCTCGGCGACAAACTCGCCACCGTTATCACTATGAAGGGTGCGGACCCGTGCACCGTTCGGGTTGCGAGCCTCCAGCTGCGTCACCATGTCCTGCAGCGCTTCGCCCACTTGGTTCTTGCTAACCAGTGTGCGAACGGCAGACAGACCGGAGGCACCGTCCAGCAGCGTTAGCAAGTAGCGAGCCCCTCCTCGGCCCGTGGTCGGCATGGGCCCGCACAGGTCAGAGTGTACGACCTCCAGGACATGCTGAGGCCGGTTACCGTGGCTGACGTGAGCTGTAGCTGTAGTCTTCGCTGTGACACAGGCTTCGCAGACACCCTCTGCCGCCTGACGCAGCACCGTGGGAGTGACCCGTGGTCCATGTACCAGCTGCTTGGTGATAAGCTGCTCCAACGCCCGGTAACCAAGGTGGCCGAACTGGCGGTGCAGGCGCTGCGCTGCTGCGAGTTCGGCGGCTGAGCACTCAAGGGCGCCCAGCTGCCCTTGGCCGTTGCTGGCGCCGTTCGACTGGTCTCTGCCGGTGTCACTGCTGTCGGCGCCGTTCGGCTGGTCCCCGCCGGCGTCACTGCTGCTGGCGCCAGCGGCAAATCTGCTAGCGCTGGTACCTCCGCCGGCTCTGTCTTCCACAGCGCCGAGCACACTGATGGCGCGTTTGGTCGGCGCCAGCAGGTCCACGTCCATGACGTAATGCCCACGCTCACTCCACGCGGTGATAGACAAACCGCCGTGCGGCAGACCTACTCGCGAGAACTGGTGGCCCGCCTTGTCCGTGCCGAACGTGACTGAGCAGCCGCACGTCACGAGAAGGTCGACAGACATGAGCGTCAGTCCCGAGCTGGGGACATGGAGCACGTTGCGTAGCAAGACGGTTTCTCCATCGCGTGTCCGGCGGAGCAGCACCGTGGACTCCACGGGCGGTGCGACCAGGGCCAACAGCTCCAACCAGGCCGGACTTGACTGCTTGAGCCTTCAGGTTGTTCTCCTTCTCCCGCAGCATGAACACGAGCTGCGGGGTAGTCAAGTTGGGCAAATACATCGCGAACTCGACAGTAATAGCGTACTGTGGAGGCAGACCGTGGAGAATTGCATGACGCATAGCAGCCTCGTCCCACTGGCCGCCCGCCGAGATAATGTCGCTGCGGAGCTGCTCTGCCCGCTGAATGAAGTCAGCGGTCGTCTCGTCATCGCCCATGCGCAGTTGCTTCTGCGGCTCCAGCAGGCTTAGCCGGGCCTGAGAGGCAGAACGGAACTGCAGCTGTAAGAGCTGCATGGCGGCGAGGGTCGTCTGACAGTTCCTGAGCAACTGCTTTACTGGCAGTTCGCAGGATAGACGCAGGTAGCCAAGCGCCTGGGCATCTTCCTCCAGAGCGTCTTGCGCATTGCGTCCCGGTGGCGACGGGTTGGTCATATAGATCCGCAGCTTGGATGTAGCAAGGAAATCACTGAAGTCTCCTAGCCACTGTGAGTAGTTAGACCCGTCCGCTAAGAGGACGGTCTTACACCCTTTTCCCATGTCGGTTGCCTAGCGAGCCTCCCTGCTCAAGCTAAAAGCAACTACAGATATTAACCGCCGGGAACCGTTACCCGGGGCTCATAACCTGTTGGTGAGACGCTATCTCACAGGGACCTAGCAGACACGACTAAGGAGACATTAGCCGTTACACGTATTCGGGAGATCCGCGACCTACCACCGAAAGCCCCTTTGCCTAGGCGTAAACGTGTGAATCTGAGGTACTGTTACCGATAAACAGCAGAGACTTATAAAGGCTTGGAAAGCCTATCCCAAAGGACGAGAGCTACCAGTACGCTAGAACCTAACAGCCGTTCTGACGGGCCTCCCGAGACAGGTCCAAAGCTGTCACTCAGTCTAACATGCGACCTCAGACCG